GTGGGCGGCTTCACAGACCAAGAAAGCGAGAAATCACATGTTACCATTCGCGTGATCAATTTTGCCATAAATCTCGCGTGGTGGGGGTCGGCCAATAAAGATAAGGCAAGCTATTTTCGCGAGATTGTGTGTGTGGGGGTCGGGGAACGAAGCGAAGACAAGCCATTTTCGCCATATTTCACATGTAGAGGTCCGACGATGAATGATGATCCTTTAAAAAAATTCGCCGTATTTTAATTTGTGACAAAAGTTACAAGAAAGAAGAGTATATTTCACGGGATAGTGGATCACAGGCACTCCAACATTCCGCGTGTGGGGGTTCAGCTTGAAAAATGAGGAGCTAATGGTGAGCCACGCGAGAGAAAAATCCAAATGGAATTCATGGGCAGGAGGGAGGAATAAAAAAATAAAGAAACCGTATTGCAAAAATCCGGTTTCTTTAATAACTAGAAATCGGATCATCAAAATCCGGTTTCAATATTTCCAACCGTTAATACCATATTTAACCCGTTAATCCCATTAATCCACATTATTAACCCGTTAATCCCGATTAGAAGGATCAAATCAGATTTGGAAAATCCAGTTTCTATAGAAACCGGATTTTTGCTCTCCGTATTCGCTCCTTTTTAAATTCTTTTTTACTAATACTCTTCATGCATATTTAAACATGAAATGTGCTCCTTTTTATAATTTGCCCTTCAATATATAAGCAAGTTATTTCCATAGGTAATTGCAGTAAGGGGCTATTTGGTTAGAATACTGGTTTAGGATGTAAAGTATTTCAAATTCAGGAGTTTTAATGATTTGGTGTTTAGTTGGATGAAAATAAAATAAATGCAGTATAAATCATTCTAATTTGTTTTTAAGCAAACAAAACTCGTCCGATTTTGAGAGAGAACGATTTACACCACAATAAAGCATACTTGATTGCCACCACCCGTCGCTGTCGCCTCCACCGGCCACCCCAAACCGTTGTCTCCACCCACCGTGGACCGCCATCACCGCCACCCTGTCAATCACCACCCCCACTGGCCATCCCCGCCCACTACCACCGCCTCCACCTACCACCAACAGTCGGCTTCCATAGCTGCAGTCCGCTAACACCAATTTTTGACTTTACACTACATTCATTACTTCAAAAAAAAAAAAATTCACTTTCATTTACTTTTATATTCATCCAAACAACTCAAATTATTATTTTTACACTGCATTCCTTTTACACTGTATTCCTTTATTAGTCAACCAAACAACCCAAACAAAACAAGTAAAATTAACAATTGTTCAAGAAAAAAAAAAAGATGAAGGCACAAGCCGATATATCATGATTCGATCCGCCGATAGCCTACATCCATTCTCCAAGACCGCCTCAAGATTTTCTTACAAGCCTCTCATTTCACTATCGTAAGACAGAGAAGCCTCGCTTTTTTCATATTATAAAAAAACCCTAGACCATTCTTTAAAGCAAAAAGCCTGTTGCTCTAGCACAAACCTTTTAGGTAGTTGACCACTTTTAATAACAATCCAAAATCTCTCTCAAAAACAAAATAAAACAATTTTTGACATTTACAATACATTTATTTTATTTCAAATCAAATAAAAAAATTGATCACCTGTACTTATTTTATACTCATCCAAAAAACTTTACAACAACAACAACATCATCATCAAGCCTTTATCCCACTAAACTTTGAAGATTTCAAATATATTATGTTTCTTTTACACTACATTCTATTTTACACTACATTCTTCTTGTAGGTGCATGACAAGGTATGCAAGGGCGAACAGGTTCATTTGCTTAGGGAAGCAAATTTTGGCCAGAGATGATGATGATGATGTGAACACCGAATAGCTTTTTAATGAGTACAATAACCTTGTGGGACTTGAGCTTCATTTGGAATGACTTTCTTCTTGCTTCTTCAAATAGCTTTTTAGTACAAAAATTTTAATTTTTGTACTAAAAAATTGCTTTAAAGAATAATAATAAAATTGTCACAAACGAAGCCTTAGGATTTGATGCCTATTATTTTTATCAAGTTAAAATTATTATTAATGAAGGTGATATAATTTATATATTCTTTGCTACGTGTATTATATGTGAGTTATTAGTGAGTGTTATTTAGAATTATTATTAACCTACTGCATAATTTTTAATATATTATTTATGCAATTTCACTGAGTGTTTCAAGAAGATCAAGGGGACTTTTATTGGTGGGAGCAGTGATATAATTGTTTTTCTTAATCTAATTCCAAGAACTTCATATATGTTAATATTTCTTGTGTGTGTTTGTGTGTGTGAAGAAACTTAGTAGAACAAAAATCATTTCCTATGATAATTTTTGCATCAAATATCAAGCTAAGTTAATCAAATGGAGATTATGAATTTTGGATTAATGAAGAGAGTAATTTTAGTAGTAATAGATTTAGTAGAGGGATTATAACTTTGAGTGATCTAAGCACTAAAAAAAGTGCATGTTTTAGATATCTTAGGTCTATCGTTCAAAGCAACGGTGAAATAGATGGGGATCTTAGTAGAATTTAAGTTGGATGGTTGAAGCGGAGGAATGCAACCAGCCTGTTGTGTGATAGAAAAGTTTCACTCAAATTAAAAAAAAAAATTATAAGATGACGGTGAGATCTACAATGTTTTATAGTACAAAATGTTAACAAGCAAAAAAAGAACATAAAATTAAGTATTATAGAGATGATGATGCTTAGGTGGATGAGTGGCTTGACACTCACGAGACATAATGTGAAATGTGTATATACGTAAAAATGTTAGAGTAGCTAGATTAAAGAGAGTCGTCTAAGATAATTTAGTCACATAAAGCATCAACCTTCCTACGACCATGTTAGTAAAGTAGATGTATTAAAGTCAGCCTATGTTAACATAGAGATAAATCTAAAAAGACTTGATAAGAAAATATTAGAAATGACCTTTTTCATTAAATTTAAATGAGAATTTGACTCTTATTAAGATATAATGGAGAAAAAATATTCGTGTAGCCAACCCCACAGTGGAATAAAAATTTATTGTGAGGTGGCTAATTATTTTGAGAACAAGATTAGTTTTTTTTTAATCAATTTTGGCTTTTTTTTTCTCTCAATATCTTTTTCTTCCATGCTGCAACTTGATGGTTTACCTGCTACTGGATACAGAAATGCTTATCCAATTACTAGTGAATCATTTGTTTGGCAGATTGTTGCTCATTTTGGTGGTCCTTGGAGACAAGGATGAATAAATTTAACAACATTGATCTACAGATTTAGACAAGAGACTCTTTTGTTGCTTCTTGCACAGATACTGCACTTATTCAAACTCTGAATCACCTATATTCTCTTTTACAAATTTTGATATGATTGTTATTGTTTTTACCCTTTATTATATGTTCTTCGATTCTACGGCTTCATTTGGGATGACTTTTTTATTGTTTTGTAAAGCTATTTTTTAGTTTAAAATTTTCTTGAAAATAAAAAAATAGAAGTTTAAAACTATCTCAAACGAAGCCTAAGTTTGTTATTTCTCTGTTAAAGCCTTTGAGGCCTGAGCTACTAATGTCCAATTGTAACTTGTCCGTGTAACTCAGGTTTTAGATCGGCTTTGTAATTATATAGTTTATTGCTCTTAATACAATTGAGAATCTCAACTCTCATCATTCCTACAAAAACAGGAATATAGCGAGTGATCAAACAAACAAAGCCAGGCTGCGATAGCAAAACCCACCCAGAAAGACGAAGACGATTAAAATATAGAGAGAGAGAAGCATAGAAAATTAAGAGGAGAGAGAGAGAGCGAGAGAGAGGACAAGAGAGAAGATCTGTGTTATGCCGGTTCCTCCTGAACCGGCCCACCCAGGGTCAATTAATGTCTATAGGAGGTGGGCTAATACCACCTCCTCTCCTCCTTGCCGCCTACAATAGTGGGTCCTAGGCTAGAGAGAGAAAGTAATGAGCTTTTTGGTTGAGGTGTGTAAAATGTGTAGAAGAGTAGGGTTTGGTGGTTTGAAGCGTGGATATGGAGAAACTGAAAAATTAGGATTAGGATTTGTTTTAGATTTGGGAAGAAAATGGTGGAAGATGAAGAAGAAGATGGAGCAAAGAAATAAGAAGAGAGGAGAGGGAGGAGAGAATAAGAAATGAATAAAGAAAATGGAAGGAAGAAGAAGAAAGAAAAATGGAGAAAGAGAAGAAGAAGAAAGGAGGTAGAAGAATAATGGAGGAGATGAAGAATAATAATGGAGAAGATGAATAAGGAAGAGAACTTACCTTGAGCTTGAAGGAAGGAGGGAGCTTCGGAAGTCATCAGCTTTGGAGTCGCAAGAGAGCCCATGGGATGAGAGGGGGGTGTGAGTTTGATCGTGAGAGTGGCGGTTGGGAGAGTGAGGGATTATAGGTTTTTTTTTATTACAATTTTCTTTTCTTTTTTAACCTCTCTCGCTCTCCCTCTTTAAATTAAATTTTTATAATTTTATGACATGAAAAAAAAAAATTTAATAGTACATCGAGTCGGTCGCCAATTCGTCATCGTTCGCACACCTCGTCGCCTCAATTTGCGCACCCGAAATTGGGTGAGTTACACAGGGTGTTGCGCTCTTTTGCTTTCAAAATTCATCTTGTGTTGTGCGGTCGACTAGATCCCGACACTAGTATGGAGGTCAACAAACACTAATAGCTTCTATAAACTATGGCCAGGTTTTAGAGAAAACAACATAGTTTTTGTTGGGAGTAACATAAGAAAGGTGAAATGGCTGAGTTTGACTTGGTTCTATCATAAGCAAAGGAAGCTTGTAAAAAACATGGGAGGAAGCTGTTGACCAAACCAAGCATGGAGCAATATGTCTATCATAATAACATGCTTATACCGCTTCCAGTGGTCGATGAAACTCTAAGATGAGCTACAAACAGGGTCATAAAGGAAAATGAATTCAAAGTTAATCCTCTTCAAATCTTCATAATTTACAAAGAAAAAATGCATAAAATGCAATTCCAGCTTCTGAACCAAGTAACAGTAATTTTGCTTCAATTAAGGAGGTATCAGAGGAAGTTTATAAAACTTTACATTGAAAGAAAAAAAAAAAACAGAAAACAATAAGGCCAAGGAAATTTGTACAGTATAAAAAAGGTATTACCTCCCGTGGGATATTGAGCCAGATAGTGTCAAAGGAGACTCCAAGCATTCAAGTAGAGGAATACAATCTGAATTCTTATGCAGTTTAGTGAAAACAAGCATGTGATCCAGTACAGTTCCATTAGTTGAGCTAATGATTGTTGTCACCTCTGCGCACTCTAGTAAGACATCTTGCCTGCCTCCTGCACTGAGATTTCTCTAAAAGGATCATTAAGCCAACGATGAGAATAGATAGCCCAAACGTGTACCTGAAATTAAAAAGGAACAACAAATAATTGGCGTATAGCCCTATTAGACACAGAAAAATAGAAAATAAGACAAGCAAAAGGAAAGCTCTCACAAATGAAACCACATTACTTGATTCTTGACGACTTTGACGACTTCTTCTTCCAACAGAAAAAGGATGCCAGCCACTGTATAAAAAAGAAATCATTGATAATTATGCAATTGACAAAAATGTGAAAACATTCTACTTGTCCAACAACATAAATTATAAGGTGGAGAATATAAGCGACTGTGATTCGAGATGCATTAATGAGTATATTAATGTAAGAAAATCATACAATGTGCCAGAAGTGAAGCACCAATTTCTGTTTTTTCACCTTGAGGATAAGGTGATTCTTTGGGATGGGGTATTGTTAGACCGCCACTTCATAATGGACCAATTCAACCAGCCCTAGGCAAGGGGTTGGCCCTAGTTTACTCAAGGCAGACCTTTTGTCCATTCCAAGCTACACCCGACCCCTCTTGGGGGGGGGGGGGGGGTTGGGGGGGGGGGGAAACTATTCGGGAAAATTTGAGGAAAAGGAGGGGGCGACTAAGAAGGAATTAGGGTTTCAGGGGCTGTTTTGTCCTTTTGATGTATTATATTTGGCTTGCTTTAAGTAGAAGGGGGAATTAGGATTATGGTTATCTTGTCTTTGCTGATTTTGGTTCGTGCTTGGTGTTCTTGAGCTCTAGCGGTGTCTAGATAGTTGGGAGAGATAGATACTCCTCTCAAATTGAGGATCAACTGTATCTTGGTGTTTTCCTTTCATTTCTCATCAATTCTCACATTGTTTTGGTTTATGCATGAATTGGCTTGTGAGACTTACCGCAAAGGAAATATTTAGACAAGTATGAGATAGATTAATTTTTCAACTAATCTTTGATGCCTCGCTTGGTTGACTTCAATTCCTTCTTCATCGGTTTCTAATTTCTAGCCTAGTTCTACTAGAGTTCATACCACTTGCAATAAATTATATATTTTTCTCTTAATAGGCCATGTCATATTTCCACCATGGGATAAATATCCCATTTTCTAATCAAGATATTTCTATATTAAGGAAACATTTAAATTTACTTAATCCTTTGACCTCAATTAAATTTTATTTGAATGATTCTTTTTATCATCATTCTCAATTGCAACAATTATATCATCAATATATACAAAAAGAATTGCCAATTTCTCTTTAGTTGATTATTTATAAAAAGTGTATGGGCTCCATTAATTTGTCTGCAACCCATTCGACTCATGGCTTTTATTAATTTTTCAAACTATATCATTGGAGATTGCTTTAATCCATATAGTGCCTTTTTTTTACTTTGCATACCTTTTTTTTTAAATGAGTTGAATTCAAGTAGGGAGTCCATAAAAATCTCTTCCATATCACCAAATAAATAAATAAATTTATAATCTTTACACCATATTGTTGCATGGATCATCCAAAATTAACAGATCAAAGATAAAAGGGTATGAATCATAACTATTCTAGCAGCAAGAGCAAATATTTCATGCTAGTTTATTCCAGAGCATAGCTGTCAATGGCGCAAAAAAACGCGCGCCATGGCGCACGGAGCGACGCGGCGCACCTACGACGCCATGTTCATGGCGAGGCGCATGTGTTTAAAATAGCGCGCGCTATTTGCGCCACATGTGAGCCATGGTGCATTGCGCACGATACAAAATAGCGCGCCAAATTGTTTTTAAATTTCAGTATACTTATGAATATTTTTTATATTTAAAAATCTATTTATATTTTAAGATAAACGACTATTCATTGCCCTCATTTCACGAAAGATTTTCTATTTGCTGCATCTGCCGAACACATCCTGCAGTCCCTAAGTCAAAGTTGTTGAATCTGTCCGAAGTCGAAGGTTTTCTGTTTTCTGTTTGCTGCATTCGCTGCTTCCACCGAATCCAGCTAAATCTATCCCGAAGTTGAAGTCGTTGTTTCCCCCGAACCGTCCCGCAAAGCAATGCTTCCGCCAAATCCGCCCCCTCCTTCGTCTATTCCAATAAAAAATCTTACTAGCTGACTCCGATTTGCAACCTCCGTCTGTTCCGCACAGCTCTGTTGTTTTGCACAGCTATTTCTTACAAGAATTTACATCTTAACAGGTATGCTCGGTACCATTAGGTACATGCTCAGTACCGCTATACTGGATACCGCTCGGTACTGCTATGTACTTGCTCGGTACCGCTAGGTACACGCTCGGTACCGCTAGGTACATGCATGATACCGTTCGGTACCGCCATGTAAATGCTCGGTGCATGCTTAGTACCGCTAGGTACATGCTCAGTACCGCTAGGTACATGCTCGGTACTGCTCGATACAGCTCGGTATCCCTCGGTACATGCTCGGTACAGCTAGGTACACGCTCGATACCGCTCGGTATCTTTCCATACAAACGAACTTCAAAATTATTCTTACAAATAAATTTTGTTCCGGGGGCGCTGCCCCTTAATCCCGCGACCTGACCGGGCAGGTCGAATCCTGCCAGGGGGCAGCGCCCCCTTGGACCCCCGGCAGCCTGCATATTATATTTCTTAGACAATATTATGTTTCTTTTATCTAAATTTGTTTGCTTTTAGGTGATCATAAAATATCAGATTCAGTTCAATCTTTAAAAAAAGATCCAGCATGGAAATATGCTATACTAATAAATGAATACGACAACAACAGTGTGACATGCATTTTTTTTGGTATAATAATAAAATGAGGAATTACACGCCACAAACAACACCTCGTTGAGGGTTTTAGGAATGCAAGGCCTTACTCTAACTGCCCTGAGCACGTGAAATCTGAAATTAAAGCATCCATGTTGAAAAAAATGAATTAAAGGAACATTTTAATGACATATCAAATGTCAACCTTGCTGAAGAAGAATGAGAAGACTTTGATGTGATGACAGATGATATTTTAATTGCTAAACCATCCAAAATGTTGCGGATAAATAAATCTAACACATCTAGTCAAGGATCGACATCTATATCTATCTTGAAAACATCACAACCTAAAGGTCTATTAGATACTTTCCTTACACCAAATATTGAAGATGTAGTAAAGCATAGAAAAGGTCAATTTAGTAAAGAAATTGATGCAGCTAAAAAAGAAATGAAGGGAAGGGCTATTCAAATGTTCAGTAGATGGGTGTACGATGCTGGGATTCCATTTAATGCTGTGAACTATGATAGTTTCCCTGCTATGGTGGAGGCACTTGGGCAGTTTGGACCCGATATGAAACCTCCTAGTTATCATGAGATATGAGTTACTTGTTTGAAAGAAAGATGTTGGACATACACATGAGCTATTGCGACGCCATTAAGAAGATTGTGTACGATATGTTGTTCTCTAATGGCAGATGGATGGACATCGAGGAATGGGAAAAGCTTAATCAATGTTCTTGTTAATTGTCCAAGAGGTAGTGCATTCATAGAATCAATTGATGTTAGTTCTTTCTCCAAAAATGCTGTGAAAATGTTTGAACTATTTTGCAAGTACATCGAGGTTATTACACCATATAATGTGATCCAAATGGTCACTAATAATGCGTCCGAAAATGTTCTTGCAGGTTTGTCACAACTTTTATTCTAAAGTTGTGTTATTTCATAAAGAATTTGTATATATCTTAACTTAAATTATAATGACATAACAGGAAAATTATTGATAGACAAATATCCTCACATTTATTAAACTCCTTGTGTTGCTCACTGTTTGGATTTAATAATGGAGGACATTTTCAAAATTCAAAAGCTAAGGCGATGCTTTGAGAAAGCAGTGGCAGTACACAATTTTATATATTCTAGGCCTCACTTACTTGAGTTAATGAGGATGTGCACAAATCAAAGAGCACTTGTCAAACCCGCAAAGACTCGTTTTGCAACAGCTTTCTTAACTTTACAAAGTTTTCATCAACAACAACTGAACTTGAAGAAAATGTTTACTTGTGATGAATTTATCTTTGGTCCTTATGCGAAAGAGGCTAAAGCAAAACAATTTAAACATACAATCTTACAGCAATCATTTTGGAACACTATAATGTATGCCTTAAAAATAGCTGGTCCTTTATTAAAGGTTCTTAGATTAGTTGATGGAGAGAAGAAGCCCCCAATGGCTTACATATATGAAGCAATTGATAGAGCAAAAGAGGCAATTGTTGCAAGCTTCAATAACAGTGATAAGTATGATCAAATTTATAAAATGATTGATAAAATATGGAAAGTGCAATTATACCAGCCTCTACATGCAGCAGGATATTTTTTAAACCCTGAATATTTCTTCAATAACCCTGATAATGCCAAGGATAAGAAAATAGCTGATGGTCTTTACCAATGTATTGGAAGATTATCTCAATATGTATCTGAAGAAGATAAAATCAGTAATGAATTAAGTTTATACATTAGGGGTGAATGACTATTTGGTATTCCTCCAGCTGTAAGACAAAGAACTACCCGATCTCCAGGTATCATTATTTACAAAAAATTAACACTGATTTGTTATTTACAAAAAAATTAAGACTGATTTGTTATATAATATTGAAAAAAAAAATTCATTTCTTCCAGCTGATTGGTGGTTGGCATATGGACAAGGAGCTCCCAATTTACAAAGCTTTGCTATCAAAGTCTTAAGTCTAACATGTAGTTCATCTGGATGCGAACGCAATTGGAGTATTTTTGAACATGTAAGTATTTTACAATGTATGCGTTGATTTTTTATATATGTTTATAATATAGTAATGAAATTAATATTTTAATTGCAGCTTCATAGCAACGAAGAAGCAAATTGGATCATGGTCTCTTAAACGATTTAGTTATGTGAAATATAATAAAGCACTGATTCAGAGATTCAATCATCGTGATGTCATCAATCCTATTTCTTTGACTGAGATAGATGATGCAAATGAATGGCTAACAGGAAAATTAGATGATGAGTCTGATGAAGAAAATGACTTTATTGCTGGAGAGAAATATTTAACTTGGATAAGTGTTGCTAAGGCTACTTGTGTTTATGATAAAAGCTATAATATTCGGGAAAGATCTAAAGGAAAAGATAAGGAATCTTCAATTAGGTATGATGTTGCTATTGAGAATGAGAATGAGGAGGGTGATGAAGAGGATTATGAAGTAGGAGATAATGTTGATGAAGATAAT